CCCCCTTTTAAGCCGGCTCCCCCCGGCCCTGCCTCCTGCCTCTCCTCACCACCCTCTGCTGCCTCTGTAGGAGGCAGCAAAGGTGGGTGGCAGGCGGGTTCACAAGAGCCTATACGCAGGGGAGGAGGGGGGGGCAGGCATATTAGCTCAACCTACTCTCCTCACCCTCCACACTGCTGCCTCTCTATCAAAGGTAGCAGCACATGGGGGGCAGGTGGATCTCGAGCTCGTGGGGAACTGGCTTTTAAGCTAGCTGCTCCCAGGCACTGGCTCCCACTCTGCCCCTTTCCCCCACTTGCTGCCTCTGATTAATTGTCGTCTACACAATGAGATCCCTATTGTTCAGCATAAGAGCACATTTCAGAATTCTAGATTGAGAAAATGAAGCATGTCTTCCTTACATAACTATTAACCAAAAAGCGGGAGACTGCAGTGTATTAACTACATTTTTTCAGCCTACCCCGTTTATGTCTCCTGTAAGCCTCTGCAACCTTCCTAGAGGACTTTCTATTGCAAGGGACCGATCACCAGTGTGAAATTAAGCCCTTTCCATGTTTATATACTTCAGTCTTCCCTTGTCTGTTCCCTTTCTTTATGAAGAGGATGGCGAAGCAAAGCTCAGAGTGAGTTTGTGCATTGATAGCACGAGGGAACTGAGCAGTGAGTTAATACAGTCACAGACTGAAAATCATTTGATGCTAATTCCTTTGAGTCCAAGAGGATGAAATGTCTGGGAAGATCAGTAATGCAGGTTACAGAAACTTGTATCTCTCTCTGAAACACCAGTGCTTTAGCAATCACAATCAACATTATAGTGAGTAAAAATTGTGACCATCTACTGGCTGTTCCGTGGGCTGTATGAAATGGGTTTGGTCCATTGGGAATTGTTAGGACACTGGTGATCTCAGTACATCTCAACCACAACTGTCATTGTCTGGCCTCTTGGATCATCAGAGAAAACAAGATGTATATACAGACTGGTTACCCTTAGGGTGATCATGCCATGTTAGTGCTGAGGCATATTGGTCAGTTAGCATAGTGAAGGAGAACTTTACAGTGCTACTACCTGTTATACACCTGTTCTGGGAAAGATATGTCAATAGGGGACCT